AGGGAGGGTTACCGTAGAAACGGGACCAGCTGCAAGCTGTGCAATAAAGTGAAGTGGCTCATTATCTGATGTGCAGCTATGTGGAATTGACCATGTAGCTGAGAGTAGAGTTTGGGGTCCATGTGCTGTTTTAGGCTATTTGTCTGGACTTGCTCATCATCTCACTGGAGAGCCTCACTGGAGAGCCTTACTGGAGACGTGACTATTCTGCTGAGGCCAGGGCTCAAACCAGTGACCCTGTGATCACAGGCACAGAAGCCTAACCCATTCTGAGTTGCTCTGTATAACATCATTAAGATTATGTGTTATTTGTCAGACTATGTGTTCACTTGTAGCCCAGCAAGACTAGACTACCACAACTCTTTACTGAACCAGTGCTGTCAAACCACTGCAGATAATTCAAAACATGTCAGTGCACCTGCAATGCAGTGCTATCAAGTTACATCCTCCCTTGTCTCTCTTCATTAGCTCCCTACAGGTGGCCATCAGGTTCAAGTTCTTCATGCTGGCTTTCAGAGCCATTAATGGTAAGACACCCATCTTAGTCATGATGCACCTCCATAGCTAGATCTCGCCCTCTTTGGTCAGCAAACCGGCAGTGCTTGGATGTCCATTCACCATGTGTGGTTCCCCAACACACGTCCCATCATCAGAATCCCTCTCAACCTTAAATACCTTAAGATCCATCAGTTCCAGGAACACCTACTAGCCCTCCAGCCAATAACCTACTCTGTCTTCCTCTGCATTTCCTTTCTCTTTTATTTGTACATTTGTCTTGAAGAATGCCTCTCTTTTGGTTACGAGTCTTTAAATCTTTAGAGGAAATAATATTTTTCCTGGATTACAATATTATTTAAACAGTTGTTAGAAAGTAGAAACTAGTGAATACACACCCCTCACATGCCAATCTCTGAGTTAAGACAACAGAATAATATGATGTAGCTAATTTTAATGATGACTTTGCAGGATCATCAATATTCATTTCCTTTTAACATTATAACATTGGCAGCGCACTAATGGAAACTCAAGTACACCAACAAAATAAGAATCATGTATAAAATGTACTAAATTATTACTTACAGAGGGGAAATATGTATATTTTCTTGATTTTGCAAGACCCCTGGTGAAGTAGGACAGAATGTTTCGATATGTCGTAGCTTCGTCTCCCCCTATGGATATGCGTATCACTTATACTATATCACTCGTTAGGAAGGGGAGCCTGCAATCAATCATGAATCCTAGTCTTTTACAGCTAATTTCTTCATATGGGTTTGATAATATATACTGCGATCTCAAGGAAGTGAAATAAAGACTGGTCTTCATCTGGTTATAGTAGCGTGGCATTTTGTCCTGAAAGATGTAATATGATTGGGTTTTATATGGCTACCTGACTTATAGTTTGTATCCTTATAAACAGAAAATGAAATGGAAGAAATGAGCTAAGTGTATTAGCTAAATGTACTTCCTCCTAACATTTTATTTATGTACAAAAAGATGAAAAGGACTCCGGTGGCATTTGTTTAATGAGATAATGACCACAACAGGGATCGTCAACCTGTCCATACATACGCATCTCTGACAAGACTCATCTGTGTCCTTGGAAAAACGTTTAGACTGAGAAAAAATACCATGTGGGCGACTCACCCCTGTCTGCTGCAGAATTATGTAGAGGCTACATTGTTAAACGCCTTGTCCATGAATAAAAAATCCATTTTGGTCAAAATGTGCTTCAGAATTCAGCATTGTGTTGACCCTGAACTGCAGACCTTATGATTGAAGTATCCCTGTGAAGTATCCCTGTGAAGTATCCCTGTGAAGCAGCCCATCGGTGTAGATAACTGACTCTGAGGCTGAAAGGCAGTTTTCAGTGTTGGCACAGACTGCGTGTGTTGACATGTACATTTTTCCTGTTAACAATGTGTTTGTGTACATGTGGCTGAAAATCTACAACATATTGGCAGGTCCCCGGTGAGTCATTCCTTAAACATATCCTGGCGATTTATTATTGTGTTGCTGCGGTTTAAATACATACCTGAATAAAGCTTCACAGCCTTCTTCCAGAACCACTTGTTTAGCAGAAGGTTGGAGAGACGCTGGAGCCACCATGGGAAACAGAGGACACCAGTTCATGGAGACATGAAGATCAGGCACCAACTCCATGCTGCGGGGGGACAGATTCAATCCCTCCCAGCTATGGGGGTTCGAGGCTGTGCTGCCATTTTCATACAGTGTATGTCCAGTGATATTGGATTGACCATTTTATGTACAGTAGTGTGCAATAGTTTTAGGCAGTTAAAGAAAATGATGTTCAAATGTTCTTCATGTTCGTGTAAAACTCTGATATTATGTCTGCCAATGTGTGTCAGCTTAGCCATTTCCAAACCTCTCCTAAAGTCACCCCAGTAATTACAGTAACCATCCAATACCCCCATGTATTTGTTTGACCCGATCGCTACCTCACCTCATACGGCTAATCAATACCTCATAACTAATTAAATGAATGAATTAATTGAGCTGGATGTGAGATGTAACAAACACAGGTAATGGCTGGGGGGCCCCTGAGGAGGGGTTTGGGACCTGAAGCCGTGTTCATCTAGCCGTCCAAGTAGGTATCAGTCACTTTTTGGAGAACAGAGGAAATACTCGTTAGATTCTGTTGTGTTACTCTTGATTTACACATGTTCTAATGTAAAATTGTGGTTTTATTCTGAGCAAATACACCTTTACTACTCAGATAAACCGCTTTAAACATTTCCTTGGACTCCCTAAGACTTTTGCACAGTACTGTATAGATAATACAGTGACCCAGAATATTTGCCTGTGCTGGCGGGAGCATGGTGTTGATACCAAATTGACTTACATACTATTGGCAATGTAGAGTCATTGCTGGTCTCTTTGTGTCAAATTGTTTAACATGTTTGCTTGTAATTTTAAATGTTTGCTACATTTTTTTCTGCTTTGTGTGTTTTTCTGCAGTCGTGCTGCATCTGTTGCTTATAGGCAAACAGGGGAGAAGGACAGCAGATCCCTGGTCCCTGATCGTCGCCTGGCATCTCTTTACAGCACTGGGTCAAAGTCATCTGTACCATTGTTTGTCTTTAATCCTGCATATTTGTGTATAAGTAAAACAAATTAAGGAAATAGGGTCTGAATGTCCATTCATGTGATCCCTACCGCACTGCGAGTGCTGCACCATCGTCTGCAAATGAAAAACTGCACCTGCCCCCTCCCTGCCCCCTCCCTGCCCCCCACCCAACATGCCTTTGGAATTTATCTGTAACAGAGGTTTGCTTGCTTTCACTTATTATGATGCGTTCTGGCAGTCTATGGACACCAGTCAGACTTAATTGTTACAAACAATCAAACCAAATAACTTAGCAACAATTATTTGTAATTAAAACATAGACCTGGCATCTACCTGAAAAGGAAAAGAAATGAAGCGAATCCTCATTAAGTGCAGGATTGCATCGCCTTAAGTTTTGGCCTGTAGTTTACGAAGACTTAAAAAAAAACATAATTACTCTAAATCCATCCATCCATCTTCTACTTACACACCTTTCCAGTAGAGGGCTGCATGGGTACATGGAGCTCATCCCACAAGGCTGCGGCACATGCTTTTACGGAATCCCACATTCACATTCACCTGCCGAATGGCTTTGGACTGCAGAGTGCAAGCAGAGCAATCAGAGAGATCCCACTCAACATGGACTGAACAGGCTCACTCCAGACACACTCAGAGAGATCCCGCACAACACAGAGTGAACAGGCTCACTCCAGACACACTCAGAGAGATCCCGCACAACACAGAGTGAACAGGCTCACTCCAGACACACTCAGAGAGATCCCGCACAACACAGAGTGAACAGGCTCACTCCAGACACACTCAG